TTACTACCAGTAATCTAAGCTAAACAATTTCTAATCTTATCAATATTTTCTTTAATTGTTTTCTATCATCTTTAACAACAAATTAATAATGTGACATGCAAACGTTGGTGAAAAAACTTCAAATTGTTATAAAAAGGATAATTACTTTGAAAAAAATTTATAGTTGTCGATTAGCACTTGCATTATCTAAAGTAAACTTATTACTTAGATAATATCATAATCTTCTAAACTTCAACAATTTTATTTAAATTTGTTGACCACTATGATCCACATCTATTAATCTAAATCTTAATAAAGATTTATTTATTTACATTCGTTATCAAAATAATGACTAGTCACATAAATATAATCTTGTTTAGCTCTACACTCCAAATATCGGCAGTTAGAGCCATACTAACATGACAACATGTATTTATTTTTTAATTCTAATTTATTTTCCTAAGCAATTTATTAAATCATTTCTAGTTGTAGTTTTAGAAAACTTTTAAATCCTGGAAAAAATGAATTTTAATAAATCTTTCAAATATTTATCTTCAGTCATATAATAGGTTGATCAGTTGCAACATATATAAAACTAATTGTTCCTATATACATCAGAATTATAAGTCAGTAGTACCATATTAGTTATTTGAGTTTGATGGTTTCTCTATTTCCATGTTGAGTAATATGTTTATTAGCATGCCTTTTTAAAGTACTAGTACCATTACTTGAAAAGCTTTATAACATTTCCACAATACTTGCATCTTGCTTTCTTATTTGAACTCTATTTTCTGCGTAGTAAAACTTATCGAATGCGTCTAAACGCTCAGTGTGTTGTGGCGTTCGACAACAGTTGATGAACTCGCTTAGCTTGAGATGAAGTGGACGAGGACGACTTCTACAACCACCGAAAGCTGTAGGTGTAGCAGCATGGGGAGGAATCGGGGGCATATTTTGAGGTATATCGGATTCTGAGACTGGGAAAGCGGGGCTATTTGAATCTCCTCTTGCATTCAGTTAGTAAATTCAGGGGACTAGGATTAGGATAATAGTTTCCTTCATCATTGAAATTGATGGGAGAGAAATATCTATCCATTGTAGTTGAAAAAAAAAATTGATGTAGAAGAAATAAAAAATAAAGAAGGAGAATTGGATATGGAAAACTGGAAATAAATTGAAAATTGAAAAAACTAATAAAATTAAAATAAGAACAAATTGAAAATTGATAACAAAGAGATTAAGAGAATAAGTGAGAGATTTCAATAGAGATAGAGATTAGAGAAAATGAGAGAATTTGAGTTGTGAGAAAATATGAGAATTAGGGCCAATTTATAGAAAAAAATGGGAAAAGAAAATGACGAAAAAGACTCCTCCAACTACTATAAAATGGCTATTTCCAGGGTAAAAGGGGAATTCAAAAAAAAATTAATTTTATTTTTTTTTGGCCAACTTGTTGCCAACCCACGGGTTAACCGGCGGGTTGGCAGTTGTTGCAACAACAACCTGCCGATTGGCAGTCCTTCTTCAGAAAGGACAAAATAGCAACTGTGGGTGTCGGGTTGCCATATGGCAACCCAGCCGCCCAAGGGTTGCATGGGTTGGGTTCAACCGGCCCGCCTTATTGGCGGTCTAGGGTGAACCCTCTTTAATGCGGGTTGGGTTAGGTTGACCTGCCTAACCTGACCTATTTGTTCCATCTCTATACACAAATATCTCAAAAGAATATAACAATTCATGTGTTTCTAGAAGCATAACATGTGTTACCCAAATAAATCTGCCATATACGTTGTGATCACTCTTACTCAAAGGTGCTCACTGATAAGGCATATAACCAACATAATAAAAGGTGGTCACTTTTAACACTGAAAATTTAAACGAGAATGATTGGCAAATTCAAAGTGAAGTATTCATACCAGACTAGTGTTATACCTAGGGGTGAGCACGGGTAGCGGGTAGAACCGGAATCGGGGTAAGAACCGAACCGGAATCGGGTAAGAACCGGAACGACCGGAACCTACCCAGAACCTGCACTGTGCAGATGGTTCTGGTTCCAATTTTTTGGAACCGCTACTGTGCGGTTTCTGTTCGGTTCTTGCATGTGGAGGAACCGGGAACCGGAACCGGAACCTATAAAAAGGGTACTCTGTTTGGAACCTGTAGGGGGTACCCGGTTTGGAACCTGTTTGGAACATGTTTTGGAACATGTTTTGGAACTATTTGGAACCTGCTTTGGAACCTGTTTTGGAACCTTGTTTGGAACCTGTTTTGGAACTTGTTTTTGGAACCTGTTTAGAACCTATTTTGGAACCTGGACTATAATGATATTTGTTAAATGTAATAATGTGGGAGTTTCTATTATTTTACATATAAAAAATTTAAAATGAAAAAGTTAAATTTTTAAAAAACATAATTAAATAAATATACGAATACAATTGTACTTATAATATAAATTACACCATATTAAAAGCTTTAATATATTATAATAATTAATATAAAGTTTTGATCAATTAAGTGAATAATTGGAATTATGATCCAATTAAAAGTGTTTTACATTTTTAATGTTATTAAAAAATTATTTTTGAATAAAATAGTATATTTGATTGAGTAATAATATATTTAGTTATTTACTTCAATTATCAAGTTCTAAGATATCTATAATAAATTAGTAATTATAATTATTTATGATAAATTGATAAACATAATAATTTAATTACTAGTTAAATATCATACTAATCAATTTAACATTACATTATAGTTAAATAATTACTTAATTAATTATATTTTATAACATACTTAATTGATTTTAGTATAACTAATTATAGCATTACATAATTGATTACTACTAATTAATTGACTTATAAGTTTAAACATAATTAATAGTTAATTAATTGACTTATAATTAGAAATTTAATTAATTATAGCATTACGTTATAGATTATAGTATAATTACTTAATCAATTATAACATTTTTATAAACATTAGTAAAACTTAATTAAATGATTAAAAATTTAATTAAAAATATTTACATTAAAAATTTATAGTATGATTACTTAATAGTTAATTCACTATAACATACATTATAGTATGATTATGTAATTATTATAACATTACATAATTAAATATTACTTAATGATATGTCATATTTATAATAGTAATTACTAATTACTACATAAACATTAGCATAATACTTAATTAAATGAAAGAAATTTAATTAATTAAAACATTACCTATAAACTTTCATTATAAACATTAATTAAGCATTACATTAATTAAATAATTACTTAATTAAATTATAATATTATTATAACATTATATATTATGATCACTTATTTAGTTATAGCATTATATAGTTAAATGATTACATAATTACATAATTAGTTATGAATTTATAACATTCATTTAAAAATTAGTAATTTACTAATTTAATATATTATTACATTACTTAATTAACGATTAAAATTTAATTAATTATAAACCTACCTAATATTTAATATAATTACTTAATCAATTATAACATTCCATTATAAACATTAGTATATTAATCAATGATTTGAAATTTATTAATTAAATATAAAAATTATAGATTTATAGTATGATTACTTAATTCATTATACATACATTATACTATTATAGTATGATCATATAATTAATATACATTACATAATTAAATGATTACTAAGATATGAGTTAGAGATATTATGTTTAAACTTAGCAATACTAATTACATCATAAACATTGCATAATATTAATTAAATGATAAGAAAATTTAATTAATTATAACATTACTTATAAACATTAAAGCATTACATTATAGTTAAATAATTACTCAATTAAATTATAATTTTATATATATACATTTATATTATCACTACTAATTATAGCATTACATAGTTAAATGATTACATATTACATAATAGTATGAATTTATAACATTACATTATACATAGTGATTTACTAATTTACAGATTATTACATTACTTAATTAAACGATTAAAAATTTAATTAATTATAACATTACCTTATATATTAATATGATTATTAATCAATTATAATATTCCATTATAAACATTAGTATATTAATCAAATGATTTGAAATTTATTAATTATAATATTAAATTATAGATGATAGTATGATTACTTAATTCATATAACATTACATTATACTATTATAGTATGATCATATAATTAATATAACATTACATAATTAAATGATTACTTAATTGATTATGAGTTATGATATTATGTTTTAAACATAGTAATACTAATACTACATAAACATTAGCACAATACTTAAATGATAGAGTTTAATTAATATAACTATTATTAAAACATTTCATTATAAACATTAATTAAGCATTACATATAGTAAATAATACTCAATAAATTTAATATTATTATAACATTATATGATCACTTACTTAATTATAGCATTATATAGTTAAATGATACATAATACTTAATAGTATGAATTATAACATTACATTATAAACATTAGTTTACTATACTATTACATTACTTAATTAAACGATTAAAATTTAATTAATTATACACTTACTTATATATTGTAATATGATACTTAATCAATTAACATTCCATTATAAACATTAGTAGATTAATTAAATGATTTGAAATTTAATTAATTAAATATTAAATTATAGATTTATAGTATGATTACTTAATCATTATAACATTATTTATACTATTATAGTATGATCATTAATTAATATAACATACATAATAAATGATTTAATTGATTATGACATTATATTATAAACATTAGTAATTTACTAATTTAACACAAACTTAATCAAATTATTATAATTATTAAATAACATTATTAAAATTTATGGTTGATTATTTATTAATTATAACATTCTAGTATAAACAATATTACAATACTTAATTAAAATAAGATTCAAGTGTGTCTTAGAGATTATGGTATGAGTTACCTACTTTTTCAGCCATAACAGGATTAATAACACATATTGGACATCAAAAACCTAATTAAAACTTGATTAATTTCCATAAACAAAGACCATTCACAATCACAATCACATTCACATGCATCGTTTTTTCGCCCTTTGCTTCTCCGCATCTTAACTAAATCAGAGAGAGACTGAACAAAATAGAAAAAAATAAAAAATAAAAAAGAAGAAATTCGCTTAGATCTACGACGAAGAGCAATCATATCCATCTTTGACACTTAATCTCACAATCACAACGCTTGCTAGAAATGCAGAAGACGGCACAAGCATGGTTCATCGGAGGTCCGAGCACCGCAAACTCAAACGGCCACCGACAAAAGCCTTCGTCTCTGCTGGCTGATTGGAACTCTTTCGCCTCTTCTCGAGAATCCGATTCCTCCGCATTCGATCTGAAAGCTGCTCTGCACCACCACTGACAAAGTTAGCGGCACATGATATGTTTTGTATGTTTGAGAGATTTGAGTGGACTCCAACACCATTCCAATGGTACAGAAGGCGTAAGTTTGGCTTCAATCAATATGGAGTTACACCAATTATTTTTATTATGTTGTATGGATTTATGAATTAGGGTTGATGAATGGGCCTACATGATATGTTTTGTATAATCTGCTTTGCGTGGTGTGTACAGGTTGTAATGTAAGTACTGATTAATATTAAGGGAAAGTGAAATAGTTTATGCGGTTCATTTCTTTTGTAAGAACTCTATGTGGAGTTTAGAGATTCCTATGTGTTCTGCTACCTTTTTTTTTTTTTTTTTTTTTTTTTTTAATTGGGTGTTCAGCTAAACTTTGACACTACTTTTTTGAAAAATTTGTCATACAGGCCATTCTAGCTGAAGCTGAGAAACAACACTCTATTCAATTTTAATGTTAATTGTGGCAAGTTCAGATTTTTATTTTTTTATTTTTTATTTTTTTTTTAATTTCCGTTTTTGGTTTTGAATTAGAATGGCGGTGGGGCTGATGAAAGGCCTGAGGACTCTAGGAAATCCACTTATGAGGTGCATGATGAGGCTGAGCAAGAATCCAGCTCTTAGGTATTCTCTCACTCTATTCAATTTGTTTATTGAGTTATTGTGTATGTTTAATTGCTGTGATTGGTGATTAATGGATCTCATTTGATGTTAATTTTTGCAGATATATCTCAGAGTTGCTTTGGGATCAGGGTGTGTACAGTGGCGAAGGAATCATCAACTGAATAGCTGTTTAGAAGGTTTTATGCTTCTTTTTCACATGTTTGTTTCCCTACTCTGTCTCAATCATGGTTATTATGGTAGTTGATAATGATAAAAATGTATATTTTATTACTAAATGTTGATAAAAAGAAAAATTACAATAAAGCCTTCCTGTTACAACTATACTACATGTTAAACTGTGTGTATAGTCTGAATCTGGATATTCTTGAAACTGTCATTAATTAACCAGATTAAACATCAACATCTTCACCTACTTTACTCATTTCAGATGTACATTGCTTCTTAATTGAGGACATTAATATATACTAACAAAGATATATTTTATTATTTTAATAAAAAAATGTATGAGATTGACATAATGTTTGATACAGATAAAGTTTATGTTGCATTTCATGATGAATCCTGGGGAATTCCAGTTTATGATGACAAGTAAGTCAGTTGTAATATTTAATCCAGTGAATATATAAATTATGAAAAATCAGTGCCAACTTTTAAATGGAAAATTATCATCAAACAGTCAACTGTTCTAGCTACTTGCATTGTGTGGTATGTTGATGGATTACAACTAGATTGAAATCTTGAAAAGGAAAGAATTATTCAGGTACTACTTCTTTTGCACTACTCAAATGTAACTAAAATTTACATATTTTAAGATACCTTCATCATAAATCTAAACATTTGGTCGATAACGTAGAGAAGCTTTTGCGGGATTCGATCCTCAGGTTGTTGCCAAAATGGGGGAGAAAGAGATCTTAGAGATATCATCAGACAGAGCAATAATGTTGGCAGAGAGCAGAGTGAGGTGCATACTGGACAATGCCAAATGCATAATCAAAGTAATTTTGAATATCCAATTCCTTAGCATATATTTACTTTTTCTGCAATCTCTTTCAATTGCAGTGCTCAATAGTTGCTTACTTAACCTCATTGTCCAAATGCAGGTCCTTCAGTAGCTTTATGTGGGGTTATGTAAATTACAAACCAGTTATTAATAAATACAGATACCCAAGAAATGTTCCCTTAAGGACTCCAAAAGCTGAAGCCATAAGCAAGGATTTACTGAAGCATGGGTTCCAAGTTGTTGGACCGGTGATAGTTTACTCATTCATGCAGGCGGCAGGGCTGACAATTAATTGGTATTCTCTCACTCTATTCAATTTGTTTATTGGGTTATTGTGTATGTTTAATTGCCGTGACTGGTGATTAGTGGATCTCATTTGATGTCAATTTTTGCAGATAGATCTGAGAGTTGCTTTGGGATCAGGGTGTGTATGATGGCGAAGGAATCATCAACTGAATAGCTGTTTAGAAGGTTTTATTCTTCTTTTTCTTATGTTAGTTTCTGTTGCTTTATAAACATTTTTAAATAGTCAATTTTTGTTCCAACTTCCGTTGAGTCAAATATATTGATTATTTATTGCACGAGTTTGAGAGGTTGAGTGGCAACAATGGAAGTGATGCCGCCTTCAACAAATCCTTTAACACCTATTCTCTTCTCAGAAAATTAAAACCAAAGAAACGAAAGAGTTGGGTGATTACGAGGTGTGCGATGAAATGTGATCCTCAAGTTCTCTAAGTTTGTTACTAATTTTGATCCTGACGTTATTGCTATACAGATCAGTCATTTTTTATCATTCTCTCTGTTGATGTACTTTTATTTGATTAATGCGTTCTGTGTTTGAAGTGTGATTGTGTAATGGGACATGCGTATTTGAGGTTTGGGTCATTTGGTGTTACGAGATTCTCATATTTGATTATTTCTAGAGTTGTAGCTTCTGATTTTGTTGTTGTATTTGAAGCTGAGACTTGAATTGTAAACGATTTGTTTGTGTTGTTTTATTTGTTTCTTTTCTGCACACTTAAAGCACATTGATTGGGTTACGAATGTGTTTCATCGAATTGCATTAATGGGTACTTGGCATCTGAAAGATTTAATTCCTTTACAAAGTGAATTAAACCTAAGTGGAATGAGTTGGTTTGTTGATTTTAGTGTTCATTCTTCATCATTGCAAAACAACCAACCATGAAACAAAATAAAGAACACTTAAGGGTTTTACATGGTTCGGCAGCATGCCTCATCCACGGGACCTTGTCCAGATGAAGCCAATCAATTATGGTAAACATTTATAGTTCAATCACAAAGCTAAAATTAAGCATCAGTTGCAAGAACACTCGGTTTTATAACGTTTCAAACTCCACCTTTTAGTCGAACTTCGAACTACCATAACAAGCTCCACGTTCACAAGACCACCTAGTCAACTTTGAGCTCTTCTCAAGATACATCAATGAAGATGCATTTCAGCTCTAAAAGCTTGAAATTCCATCAAGCAACAACAATGAAAGCCCACATTCTAGACATAAACAAATTAACAAAGTTTATCAAATGTATTTGTAAGCCTATCTAAGGCATATGAAACCTGATTCAAACAAAAGAAACCTAATATCAGAGGAATAATTAGGCTTAAGAAGACTTGCATTGGAGGAGACAAATATATAGAAAACTTGGGCTTCAATGCAAGGGGACAGGTGGCAAGGAATAACTTTATTGAACTCACCTTTATAAAGTTTATTCTAAAATCAAAATGACACCTATCAAAGAGAATAAAACTTTCCAGCACATTGAATATGAATTTGATAAGTGTTATGGACCACACAAATAGTGTTGGAAAAGTAACCCGCCCAGCCCCGCTTGTGGCAGGTTACTGATTTTGGCGGGTTGGTCCTAACCCACTTGCCAACAAAGGCAGGTCGGGTTAGGCTCGCCATTTTTTGGGGATTGGCTGGCCCAGCCCAGCTTGCCACGGGCGGGCCGGGTCGGGTTAACCCCCTTTTTTATTTTATTTTTGATTTTTGATTTTATTTTGTTTTGTTTAGTTAACTTGTCAAATTAATAATTAACAATTTATAAATGAATAAATATAATTGTTTTCAGTTAACTTCTTTTCAAATACCAATAATTCAATTCAATTAAATTAATTTTTTTTTTTTTTTTTGTTAACATTTCAAATATTGATTCAATTTTAATACCTTAAAATTGTAATATAAAAAAATTAAATTTATTCATTTATCAAAAAATAAAATAAGAAATTACAATAATTATTGCCTCGTTAAAAACCTCACCAAGAAAAACCCAATAGGACAAAAACTTGGTAAGGAAAAAAGAGTGTAATAATTGACAATTAATTTACAAGTTACAATTTACAAGACAACCAATTTTGGGGTTGATTAGGACCTCCCTCATCCGTATCATCTATATTACAAAATTGAAATAATTTTATTAAAGTATCGTCGAAAACCTCGTCTTGATCTTGATGACGTGACCGTTCCCAATCTCGAAGACATGTGAGGACTTCAATCATTTTTTGTGAAAGTTTAGTCCTCCTTTCATTTAAAATTCTTCCACTTGTACTAAATGTTTGTTCGGATGAGACGGTTAAGATAGGAACAGCAAAAACATCCAAGACAAGTCTTGATAATACTGGAAAAATACATTTTCTGGTTTTCCAATATTCTAAGACATCAAAGTTGGCTCTTTTTTGTGGATATGTTGGTAATATTTCGGGAGTTCCCAAATATTGTTGAAGCTCATTACTCTGTGATTGCATGGCGGACAGTATATTCGTTGTTGCCGTTAATGCTTCTGAAGAGGAGGTTGTGCCTATGCTTCGGTTTCGGGTCCTCTTCGACCTATTAAATGCACTCCAGGTGTAGAAGTCTTCATTTGTTTCTTCTGATGCAACTTCCCTGTGTATTTCGTGTCTTTGCGGGTTCCCATACCTATTTTCATATTGGAAATATACCTCTACAAGACATTTTTTTACCTCTCCTATTTGATTGGCAAATGCTATGTTTTGTAAAATTTTAGTTAATTTCTCTAAACCATTTTCTAAACCTTCNGGAGCGAGGAGAGGAATTGTGAGAGTTGGTCTTGAGTCAAACAGAACCCATAACGACAATGCTTTTAATATTGTGTTTTAGTTAGCAATTTATTTAATGCTTTTAATTTCCTGCAAGTAATTAGTTTCCTTAATTTTAATCAATCATTTTGCCAATTTCTCTTTCGTTAACTCAAATATACATTAGGTCGTTAGTCTTGCTCTCTGTGGATTCAACCCTGCTTACCGCTAACTACGGTACTTAGGTTTAATTTTTTGACCGTGACGAACCGGTCTAACAGACTTCCTGGAATTCCACCAAGTTTAATTTAATTTTCCTGGTTAATTTTCTGGAGCTTTCACCAGAATGGTTCTTAAACAGCGTGACAGCTTACATTCATCTTTTTTAAACTAGTGTTTATAACAATAATTTCCCTAAAATATAATCAATTAACAAAAATCCCCTTATAGTAATAACAAAACCTGTCGTTAAGATTTTGGTGTTAAAATCCAATGGTCAACTAACAGCTTACTAACGACAAGAAGAAAGGGTTTACTTATAAAAAATTGGGGACTAAAAATCACTACTGATAGAATATTCTACATTAATTCAATGCTCAACAATGAAACTGTAGCCCACAAACAATCAAATAGCAGTCGAAAAACATGAAACAATAGCCCAGTAAAATATAGAAAAAAGATACGGTAAAAATGGATATCAAATTCATGTATCAATAAACGTGACATTTATGAATTTTTCTTTTAAAAAAACGAATGATGTCCCGTCTGTTTGGTGTATAAATTCGATATATATTTTCGATAACTGTAATATTGTTCTAAAATATGTCTAGAGCAGTGCTTACAAAAAGAGAAGGGATTTTTAGACCCTATAATTTATTTATTAACCTACAAGTAAAGCGAGGAATTTTAATAAAGATATTAAACAAAATAAAAGAGTTGAATCTCCCACTTACAGAAAACTTCTACCACCTCTCTCTTGGCTCCAGAATCTCAACATCTTTTTCAAAACTATCAACCAATATTTTAACTAGTATTTTCAGGGCTATCAGATCTTGGATACAGAATTTTATTGAAACTTTATCAATTTAATTAAAACATTTAAATGAACAAGCAAATTATATATGGAAGCACAAGGCCTAGAACAATTCTTGACTGAACTGAATTCTCTAAAATTTTTATTCAAGTTATTTAGGTTGATCAATTCTTCACCACAGTAGCCCAAAAATAGTGGTTACAACAGAGCCCAGAAACAACATTAAACGTAGGCAAATTGTTCGATACTTAGCTATATGTGATTGGTGATGATTTGAATTCTTGACATTTGGCTAGATGTTATTGGTGATGATGTAGCGTAGATCAATGACTTGGATTTGATGATATATATATTTTTTCATATAATTGATGTTTGATGTTGTTTGTTATTAATGATAATATTAATAACTTTATTGATTAATATCTGTTTCACATTGACAACAAATATTGTCATTTACATATCAATATATCCCTTTACATCCACATGGTGGATGTCCCTTCACATTCACATCAACCCAAACTTTCACATTCACATTCATTCACAATTTCACATTAAATGTCTATCAACTACGTTTTTTGGCTTCTACAAAATTCACCTTAATGTAATTCACATTCATTCACAATTTCACATTAAATGTCTATCGACTACTTTTTTGGCTTCTGCAAAATTCACCTTAATGTAATTAGTTATTGATGTCTTTTTAGTATTTGTTGATGCGTGATTTTGGCACCAAATAAATACATGTGAGAAATACTGAGCTGACTCAGAAGACATACGTGTATAGGAGATTGAAATGAGTAAAAGATGGAGAACAACGTTTAAAGTGGTTCGGATGTTTAAGTAAGCGAATCCTACATCCATTGGTATTATATTAATATATGAGATCAGGTCGCGTTCAGCGAGCTGATTTACAAGTGATTACAAGAGAGAGAGAGAGAGAGAGAGAGAGAGAGTATATGTGCTATTCCAGAGGAAAATGCTGAGCTGACTCAGAAGACACACGTGTATGGGGGATTGAAATGAGTAAAACATGGAGAACAATGTTTAAAGTGGTTCGGATGCTTAAGTAAACAAATCCTATGTCCACTGGTATTATATTAATATACGAGATCAAGTCGCGTTCAGCGAGCTGATTTACAAGTGATTATAAGAGAGGGAGAGAGAGAGAGAGAGAGATAGTGAGAAGAGAGATAGAGGAGGATGAGAAGAGTATGTGCTATCTAAAGAGAAATTAGCTAATCCTATAAACGGGAGAACCCTATTTATAGTGGGATGAGTTAAGATAATGATTATAAATCTGGAGAGAAGAGGAGAGAGAGAGAGATGTGCTATTCTAAAGAGAAATTAGCCAATCCTATAAACGGGGAGAAACCCTCTATTTATAGTGGGATGAGTTAAGAGAGAGAGAGAGGAGAGAGTATGTGCTATTCTAAAGAAAATTAGCTAATTCTATAAACGAGAGAAACCATCTATTTATAGTGGGATGAGTTAAGATATATGATTACTAAATCTGGTGAGTGGGTCAAATTGCCGTGCAAATCCTTCCTTGTGTCTCGTTGTTCCCTTACTCAGTGACTTACTTACGTGTGCAGGGATGGATACGTGGACCTATCTCTAGCCTTTCATCAATTTGTGCACACCCACTGTCTGATAGGACATGCCGCTTCAGTCAACACATGACGTGGTTTGTGTCGGGATGACTGCAGGACCACTTAGCTGACAAGGCTCTACGTAGCCCTACTTTTTCAGCCATAACGGATTAATAACACATATTGGACATCAAAAACCTAATTAAACTTGATTAATTTCCTAACAAAGACCATTCACTCACAATCACATTCACATGCTCGTTTTTTCGCCCTTTGCTTCTCCGCATCTTAACTAAATCAGAGAGAGACTGAACAAAATAGAAAAAAATAAAAATAAAAAGAAGAAATTCGCTTAGATCTACGACAAAGATGCCGACGACGAAGAGCATCTATCCATCT